ATTTTGAGCTCTTATCAAATAGTGATAGTGCACATCGACTAAGCTATTCCCCAAATTCAGGCGGATAATTTGCCGTGGTAAGTGAAAAAGTCGTCCTACCTTGCAGATATCTGTGCTCTTTTCACACCGTTTAGTCTTGATTTTCTTTCGCAATATTCGACTCCCCCGTGATGGTCTACCACCTAATCGTGGTGTGGTGGTGACTCTGGGTGTCGAACAGCAAAATACAGCGGAGGTTTATCCTCCAGCAGGGTCTCCCAAGCTGAGAAGGAATTCGACGTCCGGCACTCAGGATGCCCAGTTAAGAGTAGGCTAAAACGCACCATCTGGCTGATTCAGTTACTAGGTGGTTCCCTGACCCAGGTCAGCGATTGTCTATGGTGAATGCTTGGCAATCCCAGGCAGTTTGGGAGATAATTCTATCGCTTCTACAGCATTTAAAAGAAAAAAAGTTGCACACTGGCACATTTTTGGCATCGGATGTCATCAGGACCATTGTCAGGTTGCCATAGATTGCGGACCAAAAATACACGTCGACGAATAGCCATGGAAATTGTCTCATGCTCTGCACCCACAACGCTGGGACAGTTTCCATCAAAGCTGTTTTCACTTTCGAAGCTGCAGGTGCACCAAACCATGTAATCGCCTGCAGGAATCAAATCAAGGAAGAGGGAGGTGAGGTAGCTGTGGGATAGCACACTCACCATTCGTGGTGAGAAAGTACCATCACGGAAAATCAGGCGTTGGATTTGTCGTACATCATCTGTTGTCCATCTTGTCGATTCGCATGAGATTCTATCATCTCGTCTGTCTATTCTTCGACTCCGTCCTCTGCATCAGAAAAGCGTCGCCATCATGAGCTGCTATTCTCCAACATCAGCAGTGTATGACTCAGAATTTAATGCATTTTGTGAGGATCTGGAGGAAGTCATCCGCTAAGAGAAGTCGCTCTACAAATTTGTCGTGGATGACTTTAACGCGAAAATCGGGATGTTAGAAGAAGGAAAGCATATGATTGGGGAATTTGGATCAGGGCTCCGCAATGAGAATGGTAACCGTCTTGTTGAGCTCTCATCTGCCGCGCGACTTTTTTAAATGGCAACTGCATAAACTCTTCATCAAGAAAGAACACCGGTGGTGGACATGGGAGTCATCCAACGGTGCGCTCAAGCGGAGATCGACCACATTCACACTAACCGAAGGTGGTACTTACTGGACGTCAGTTGGTACAACTCTTCGACAGTGGTTCAAATAACCGCCTCCTTCGAGCAAATGTGATCTTCAGCCGAAAGCTGGAAAAGAAGATCAGTCACCGTGTTGGAGGAAAGGGGGGAAGTCGCATATGACGGCGTCAGATTGGTGAAGCTCCTGACCAATTGTGACTGGCCTATCGAGGGAGACCCAACGAAAGACTACCTCTTCTTCTCAGATCTGCTTCTCAGGACTGAGGCCTGTGGTGAAAGTGCCTCAATGCCTCGAACAAAGCTTGGAACGAATTGCGGTAGCCGCCAAGCTGGAGAGGAGAAGAGCATTGAGGCTGGATCCGACTGCATCACATCTCGAGCGACTAATAACCAATACCAGTTGCAGAAGAGCATTGCAAGAAGATCTTCGAAGGTACAGGCAGTTGAAACTTGTGGATTTAGCACAAGGACAGTGGAGTCTAAAGAAGTGCCGCAGGGGCCTTCTTGACTACCGTGTTCCGCTGACAACATTACTAAACAAAGACGGGACTAGCACATCTTCCCGGCAGAAGATCGATCGAAGGAATTCTGCACCAACCTCTTCCGCTCGTCAACACCCGTGTCAAGCTCCAATATTTGCGAGGGAGAAATACCACCAATGATTACCTGCTGAAGTACGCGCCGCAACCCAGACCATGAAGGCAGCCACAGCTCCGGGACCGGAATACGCTTCGGCCGGCCTCTTGCGAGTTGGAAGACCTACACGAGATACATGCGCAAGATCTAACGTCTTATCTTTAAAAGGAAATGTTTCCCGATTAGTGGAGGATCTCCCGCACAATTCTTCTC